GCTGACACATATTTCTGTACATCCTTGTACATCGACAGCCAATAGAACTGTTGTGCTATCCTTTTATAAATTCTTAGTCTCCCTGAGTGGCCACCTACTGGTGAGTCGTGAAACTCCTTTATTAGTTGGGGGAATGACAAAGGAGTTGGGAGGAACTACGAATCGATTGTGGAAATAAATCGATCCATTTCTCCATCCATAAGGCTCTGTAGCCAAACTGCCAATTTTCTGCATATAGGTGTGACATGTTGCTACATCTTGTATCTGGGTCCAAATACTACTTTGCGGAATGGAAATAGCATTGATAGTAGGGCTGCCTTCTTTCCGGGAGAGTGCATCGCCAGTTGAATTTGTTTTCCCCGGCTTATAGATAATCTCATAATCATATCTCATGAGCTTAGAAACCCACTTCTATCATTCCGGGGTGGTGATTCGCTGATTCAGGAGGTATGTTAAACTGACTTGGTCCATCTGCATAAAAAACTTTTCTCCCAGTAAATACAGTTGCCAAAGTCTGATTGCCACCACTATAGCTAGCATTTCCCTAGCGTATGTTGACCATGTTTGTTTGGCAACACCCAAGGAACAGCTCATATACGCAATAGACCGACCTTGTTGCGATAATATTGCAGCTATACCATTCGCTGATGCGTTCGTCTCTATCACAAAGGGATCATTGAAGTTTGGCAATGCTAGTGTTGATGTGGAAATTAGAGCTTGTCCATTTTTAAGTAACTGGGTGAGGGGTTAGGCGATTAATGTCATAGTCTCGAAAGAACTTTCAGTAGTATCCTGTCAACCCCAAGAATCCTCAGAGTTCTGTGATGGTGGATGGTCGTGCCCAAATTAACAATGCTTGTATCTTAGTTGGATCTAACTTGACTCCTTGAGCGATGACAATATATCCTAAATACTCAAGCTTTTGGGCCTCAAATGTACACTTTTTTCGTTTCACATAGAACTAGGGTTTCTTGAGAATCTTGAACACTTGCTTGACATGAACAAGATGCGAAGTCCAGTATGAGTTATAGATTAAGATATCATCAAAAAATACAAGTACAAACTTACGGAAGTGTGCTAGAGAGATAAAGTTCATAATGGCTTGGAAGATTGATGGCGCATTGCATAAGCCGAAGGACATCATCAAGTACTCATAGTGGCCACCATATGGGTGCGGATAGCAGTTTTAAGAATGTCATCGGGGTATACTCTGACTTGGTGGTATCCTGCGGTCAAATCAAGTTTGGTGAAATAGGCTACCCCATACAATTCATCTAGCATATCGTCGATTGTTGGAATGGGAAAGTGGTCTTTGATACTGACTGAATTCAAAGATCTGTAATCGGTGTAGAAGCGTCAAATGTCGTCTTTCTTTCAGACTAACAAAACTGGGGAGGAGAAGGGGCTAGTACTCGGTCGGATTAGCCCATTCTGAAATATATCATTAACCTATTTCTCAATTTTAAATTTTTAAAAGTGTGCGTACCGGTAAGGTCTTACGTTGACCGGTTCCTTTCCTTCTTTCAGGTTGATATGGTGGTCAATCTCCCTTGCTGGTGGCAGTTGGTCAGGCACTCGAAACACATCATGATACTTGGCCAGGAGTTTCAGCATGTCTGGTCTGCTCTTGGCCTCCCTAGCTATTTTTCCATTCACCCTTGATGGTGCGTACCGGTAAGGCCTTACGTTGACCGGTTCCTTTCCTTCTTTGAGGTTGATATGATAGTCAATCTACCTTGTTGGTGGCAGTTGGTCAGGCACTCGAAACACGTCATGATACTTGGCCTGAAGTTTCAGCATGTCCAGTATGCTCTCGGCCTCCCTGGCTATTTTTCTGTTCACCCTTGATGGTCATACCAACCAATAAATGGTGCACACAGAGTCCGTTCAGCATACCTCTCGGGCCACCTCTCTGATGGAAGCAAGTTGGATGGTCGGGGCGTCCCAAGCCGCGCAACATCCAACAGCAACTGCCCCATTGGAAGCTCATTGTGAGTTGTTTCCAATCACACTCGACCGACCCCAATTTCTCTAGCCATTGAACACTCAAAACCAAATCTAACCAGGTAAGTAGTAAATCATCAAGATGAAGAGTATGACCGACATGTTTTCACCGGCCATGGCATCGGAGAGGACGATCATCTGCATCTTGGACCGAGGAGGGCGGAGTGGACTTGATTGGTAGGCGAAGCTAATTGGCTACCCGCTCACTGATGAAATTGTGAGTGGAGCTGCTGTCGATGAGGATCATCACTGCGTGCCCTTGGATAATAACAGCGACCCTCATGGTTCGAGTGGTCGGCCACCCGGTGATGGTGTGGAGGGAGATTCTTGGTGCTCCATCCCCTATTGCGTCTTTGTCCTCTTCGTTGGTCAATTCCAAGATCAAGAGCTGGGAGCGGCAGCATTTATAGCCCACCGTGAACCACTTGATGCAATGGAAGCAAAGGCCTTAGGCGCGCCAGTGTTGCATCCCTCCCCAGGCAAGGAGTCTCAGTCAACCAGTATCGAGGGCTAGGGTTTGAGACACTTGGGAAGGCAGGTTACCGGTTGGGTTGGGTACCAATTTGCGTCCGATCCGATTACGTTGCCGGCCCAGTTACTCTACTCTCATGCAAGCCAAGTTGATCGCCTCTTTCAGGGACTTAGGCCTTAACATCAATCTGTTATTTTGGGCTTAAGCCCGCCCATGAACGTCCCAATGAGAGCCTTTTGGATCTAGCTCTGAACTCGGTTCCCGAGCATTTCAAACTCCTACTGGTATTCTCTCAGTGGGCTATCTGTCTGATATGGGAGAGGGCCTCATAAAAGTCTTCTCCTTTGGTCGGCCCGAAACGGGTCCAAAGTTCCTCCACAAATTCAGTCCATGTCGCTGTTCTCCCTTCTTTCCTATAAGCTTTCTTTAACTAGAGCCATTGATTTGCTTCGCCTTCAAGGTGGAAGGAAGCGAAGGAGACCTTATGCTCCTCGTTGGTGTGCTAAAATTCGAAGAGCTACTCGACTCGGTTGAGCCATTCCATCGGGTCGTCGCCCGAATAAGTGGAGAAATCGAGCTTCGTGATTCATGAGTAGAACGCCGGTCAGCTTCTGTCAGTTCTTTCGGTGGGGTCCTCTCGGCTGGGTCTTGTGGACAAAGGAAGGTTCGTTTGGTGACTGCTAGAACTCTCTCAATTGAGCACGAGGGTGTCCATCAACCGTCGGACGACATCTTCCAACTTATGGAGCTTGTCGGTCGTGCCTAGTTCCATGCGACTCAGGTGGTCCTGAATATCGCCAACGCTGTGCTCCAGGTTTTCTATTCTCTCCTTATTGGTTAACATGGTGAACCTACTCTGATACCACTGATGGGTCCCAATCAAAACAAAATAAAGAATAGAAATTTTTGTTCTTTGCTTCGGATGCAAAGGAAACCACAATTTCTTACTTTTACTAATGAATCGAATTTATTTGCAGATGTGGTGAATTTATAGGCAAAGCAGTCCCATAATTCAGTCACTAACGATCGAAATCTAAATCAGATGATATAACAACAAATGCTTAACAGCTAGTTGATAGTGTGCAGATTTCTTGGATCTGCAATTTCCTCACATTTCCCTTATTTTTCATCTACAAACCGTGGGTTGGGAACCAATCTTCTATGCATCTGCGTGGCGGTGTTGTATCATCTGAACGTCATATCATA